CCTTCAGATTCGGCGCTTCAACGGAAGAACGGGGGGACTCGCCCATCTACTTCGCCAACTCCGGTAACATGCGCGAGAGGATCACCATGAACGGACCAGTGCCAGGGCAAGACCGGCGTGCAGTACATCGTCCTCAACATGGGTGGTAAGTTACAGCAACTTGGTGTGAAATTTTGCCCACACGTGAGCATCTCAAGCAGAGCATGTCTAAAACTTGTTGTATCTGCACGCAGCAGCCATCAGCAGCATCGTCAGGTGGGGCATGCTGGATGAGCTCAATAAGACCCTGGACATGAGGGGCATTCAGGTAAGGACAGAGCAACACAAACTGTCATGTTTCTGTAGAAAATAGAGCATGCTTTTTGTGATATGAACCATGGTTGATTCATTGTTTTGTAAACCTAAACTTTTCCAACAAACGTGGGAGAAATTTATATTCAGTTAGCACATGGAAATCTATATTCAGATGATATGGCTACTTCATATTAGGGAGAAATTTCAGAGTGGAGAGCATATTAAGTTACCATCAGTTTTTTTGACATACCAAATTGATCCTGAAACCGTATGCACTGGTAATGTTAATTGCCATGGCAAAAATACTTTTTAATAAAGTCGCCATCAATTTTTTATTCAGTAAATGATGGGCATGACAGCCATGCATTATTCTGCAGGAAGTTCATCGAATTCATTCATAACTTGGCAAATTTATATATAGTTTGTATGGAAAATTCACTTACACATTATGTTTTCACAACATGGCAAATTTGTATATTTCAATCTTTGTAATATCCACATGGCGATGGGCAGGTGTAATGGGCTGCACCGATTCAGACGACCGTGCGAGGGAGGCAAATTTAGTTTATTGACCATGAAAAGTTTTATTAATTGACCATGGCAAATTTTTAATTTCTTTTTCGACCATGGCAAATTTAGTTTATTGACCATGGCAAGTTTTCTTAATCGGTCATGGCAAATTTTAAGTCCGACCATGGCTAGTTTAGTAATTGACCATGGCGAATTTAGTTTACTGACCATGGCAAGTTTTATTAATTGACCATGGCAAATTTTAAGTCCTTTTTCGACCATGGCAAATTTAGTTTATTGACCATGGCAAGTTTTCTTAATCGGTCATGGCAAATTTTAAGTCCGACCATGGCGAATTTAGTTTATTGACCATGGCAAGTTTTATTAATTGACCATGGCAAAATTTAAGTCCTTTTTCAACCATGGCAAATGTACTCCCTCCGTCCGGAATTACTTGTCATCAAAATGGATGAAAATGGATGTATGTAGAATTAAAATACAATACATCCATTTCAATGACAAGTATTTCCGGACGGAGGTAGTAGTTGACCATAGCAAATTATTTTTTGGTAGATCATGTCAAATTTAGTAATTGTTAAGAGCATCCACATCTTCTGTCATGCCCTTTTTTTGGCAAATTTTAATCCATTTTTGCCATGGCAAAAATACTTCTATTCACACGGCAAACTTTAGTGTAAGTTGCCATGGAATTTTTTTAGTTTAGTTGGCAAACTTATTGTAAAGAGCATGGCAAGTTTTTCGTTTTAAGTATGATGGCAAATTTACATTTTCTAGAACATGGCAATTTTAACTATGTAGCACGGTAAATACATTTGTATAGCCATGTCATTTTTAATTTATCCATGGCAAAAATTCTTTTTATTTTTCACATGGGAAATTTTTAGTTTAAGTTGCCATGGAAAATTTATTGTTAGGTGCATGGCAATTTTAGCATGGAAAGATCAGCACAAAACACATGGCAAAAACTGAAACACAAAATTCATGGCAAGAACAGGTTCTCTTTTCATGCGGCTAACTTGCCATGTGTGTTAGTTTTCTGTGTTCTTTGCCATCTATGTGACACTGTTCATATCTTCTTCTGGGCACAAACAGTACCTCTCAGATGGCAACAATGGCTAGGTTACAGAGGGGGGAAAGGGGAGGAGGGTTGGGGAGGCAGCGTGAGGCATGCAAAAATTCACCTGATTTCACTTGAGTTAGCTCAGCTTTTGTAGGGTTCCTCAGATCTTGCCATGGCAACTTCCATGGATTTCAATGAAGGGGATGGAGGGGAAGGGGAACTAGGGAGGGGATCGAGGGTGGAGGAGGGAGGCACATGGCATTTCTGGATCAGATCTCGCTGGATGTTTGATGAAGCCATCGAGGGGAGAGGTCGCGTGGACCGAACTATTTTGTTCGGCTCGAGGGAGTCCCACTCCAAACGGGTCGTTCGGACTAGCCTCCTGTGCTACCAAACGTGCGCGCGTTATCGGGGTCCTTTACAAATGTGCGTACTACAACAGACATCATGCAGGTTGGAACACTACTAACAGCTAAACCACCAGAAACCATCAGAAATGTGCGTACTAAAGCTTTCGGATCAGATAAGTCGTGCCATGGATGTAGCCAACAAGATCATCTTTCGCCTTGACAAGGCTAGAGACTCCCGCGATTTGTCCCGGGAGGAGCACCGGCTGCGCAACAACCTGAAGATGAAATTGCTAGGCTACAGCTGACAGCTCCCTGCAGAGATCCATCTGGAGACAGAAATCAAGAGTGCAAGGGATCAGCGAAGGAGACGCTTGTACCAAATTTTTCCACCTGAAAGCATCGGCCAGGAGAAGGAAAAACAACATCCAGTCTATCCAGCACCAAGGGCAGCTATTTACAGGGCAAGAAGACAAACTAGAGCTAGCCTGCAACTTCTTCGCTGAACTCTTTGGACATCCGGGCCGATCGCTCCAAAAGCTTCAACTTCCAGGCGCTTGGGTACACACGGAACATTGAAGCTCTCTCCCAGCTGGAGAGCGAGTTCTCGGAGGACGAAGTGCTAGCAGCAATAAATGATTCGAGCGGCGGATAAGGCACCTGGGCCTGATGGATTCACGGGACTATTGTTCCAAAAGTGTTGGACGTTGATCAAAGATGACCTTATGAGGGCGATCAAATTTTTTAGTAATCTGAACATGGCCAATCTTCAAGCTCCGAATACTGCAACCCTCATTCTGATTCCAAAGGTGGAGGGAGCCACAAAGTTGACTGAATTTCGGCCAATTAGCC